TTTTTTTAAAGAGAATTTAGTTGTAGAGAATCAAGTTTGGTATGGCCTTGTTTTGTAGCTGGGCAAGAATCGTTGCAGCAATTTTCGTGAGGCAGGGAGTGAAGGTGTATCTCTTTCCTGACATTTGTCCGACGCCTTTCGTTGCGTACGGAGTGAAGCATTTCGGGACCTGTTGTGGTGTCATGGTAACAGCGTCACACAATCCGAAGGATGACAACGGATATAAGGTGTACTGGGAAAACTCTGCGCAGGTTTGTTCTTTACCTATGTAATTGTCGGAAACCGAGCTTTTTTTTTTCTTTTCAGACGAAAAATCATGGGTGTTTTCAATCACAAACTTGCTATGATGTCCACCTAGTGAAATTGAACTTGTTATAGGGATGAATAATTCAGTCCAGCATTACTGTATTTTATTTTGTGCACCAAGTTCGTGGGGTGATTTTCTCTTCTAACACATAGGTGTCGCCTGAATCGTCGTACATATTTTGGGTCGCCGCGTTTCGTTGTTTTGGGTCAGATTTCCTGGGCCAGGCGAAACCTGCCTGACATTTAGGAAAGCAAAATCGGTCGTTGAAATGGAATTTTATCGAACCTGATTAGCCGCTACCATTTGTTTGTGAAGTTTGTGCCGTTTTAGAAGGGCTTGGTGGGTTATCCAAAAATCTAAAATGGTACAAGAATTAAGTACTGTATAAAGAAAATATTATTATTATTCATTTAAAAAAGCAATCAAAATAACTCTGGTATGCATAAATTATATCTAGCGAATGTTCCCAATAATTAAATAATGTCATCTTTCCATCCTTGTTTATATTTTAATTGGAGACCCCTCGGAGAAATTTGAATCTTTTTGGCGGGCTATTGAAGACAAAATTAACTTCAGGACAATATTTGAGTTTTCAATAATTTTGGCGAATGACGATTTAACAGGGTTTTCAATGCTTTTATCGTAAGGGAAGATTTGTTTTTCAAAATGAAAATGAATTGGTGGTTGCCAAAAGTGGCGGCTTATCGGGGTGAGACTGAAACAGAAAAATAAGCTGCGAACATTATCAAACGACGTTTCCTAAAAGTGTTAATTTTTCTTCTGGTTTCTTTCTTATCTCAGATTTTGCCACCACACGACAAGAATATCCAGCAGAGTATTCTGGAATGTTTGGAACCTTTGGAGTCGTCTTGGGATCTGTCCATTCTTGAGCAAACGAACCCTCTCCTTTTGTCACCTTTACCTTCGGTGAGAAATTATCTTCGGGTGTGAGCAAAACCTTAATTTCTTCACGTTTTCGTTTCACTCTGCTTTTTCTAGTTGGAGGAAACGTATTTCTCCCGTCTGAAGGAATCCATGATCGATTTGTCGAAGAATTCAGATTCTCCCCTTAAGTTCACATTCACCCCGATTCATGGCGTTTCGCAGCTCACCATGGTCAGAGCATTTGAGACCTGTGGATTCAAAGTAAGACACTGTTTCATGAATTGAGATACGAAGTTTGTTTTGGTACCTCGTGCTTATTAAAAAAAACAGGTGCATATAATTCGGTTATTTGTACCCATGAATCCCCCTACTCCGTGATTTTGTTCTGCATTGCATTTAGTTTCTCGAATGTTCTAATACTGTATCTCCGTAGTTTTAACTTGACTTACGATAAGATTGTTCCATTTATGTTGGGTTAGGTCAGTGTAGTCAACGTTGGGCGAGTTCAGCGGTCATCCGTGAAAAATTAGAAAAATTAGTTTAGTTCTTCTGTTTTTGTCAGTTGTGTGCGTCAGGCGAAATTTTCCAAAATAAAAAATGAGTTTTTGGCGTTGGGTCTGAAAGATACGGGTTAAAGAATGAAATTTTCTTTTTCCTCAGCCATTCGTTGAGGTTCCTGAGCAGAAAGACCCGAATCCGGATTTCCCCACAGCTCCGTTCCCGAACCCGGAAGAAGGGAAGACAGCTTTGGCTTTTGCATTCAAGAACGCAGATGCAGCCGGAAGCACTGTAATCCTGGCTAATGATCCGGATGCCGATCGAATGGCTGTCGCTGAAAAAACGAAAGAGTAATTTCATTATTCTCTCATTTATTCGAATGATATTGAAATACGATAGATCATCGTTATTGGCAGTGGGTCGTGGCGAATTTTCAATGGCAACGAAATTGGAGCTTTGCTTGGCCACTGGTTGTGGCAGTGTTATAAAAAGAGGCATGCCGAAGTTAATCCAGCTGACGTTTACATGATCGCATCTGCCGTGTCATCTAAATTTCTGGACGTGGTTGCTCGAAGAGAAGGTTTCAATTTCATGGTGAGTTTTATGAAATTTACTCTACATAACCTTCGTTTATTCCTTCTCCCTTCTATGCACCGTGCCTAATACCTCGATTTTTTTTTTTATGGGGTATCGAATCGCTTAAAATACTGTATTTCCCTGACTTCACTTGGAGTTTTGGAATACCGAAACCGTTGGAGATAATTTGAAAGCGAGTTTTAGCTTTTTTCTTGTCACGGAAAATGGAATTATCCCCTGACCACAAAGTGTAAAAGGCTGCTGGACTAACTGTTTTTTCAACTTCAGGATTCATAATTTCCCGCTGGAATTCTTCGGGAAGGCTGACAAAATTTATATTCTGTATTTCGTTGATGGGCTCCCTTTTGTTTTTGATGTCAATTTCATTTGCACAACCTCGGAAAATTAATTTTCGAGTGCATTTTCTGTATCACGGGCTCATTTGGAGAGATAGCTTCTTCGAGTTCGACTGAGAATTTTTTCCCACGTTTGGGGTTTTTGATGAGTTTATTTTTGCGGTTTTCAATTTTTTTCAGGGTAATTTTTTGCATGTGAGAAGATTAAAAAATCCTGTTTTTTGTTCCTGAATGCATTTTTACTTAATTAGCGCGAATTATTTTCATGCATTGCGTAGTTATTCAAGTACGTATTCAGCGTTTCCTCGACTACAGTACAATATTGTTTTTAATTTAGGAAACGCTCACGGGATTCAAATGGATGGGGAACAAAGCTGAGGAGCTCATAACAGCTGGGAAAGTCGTGCTTTTTGCGTACGAAGAAGCGATTGGGTTCATGTCAGCGGTGCCACCGCTGGACAAGGACGGAATCACGGCATGTATGAAAATGGCGGAACTGGCTGTGATGGCGGATCTGTTGGAGGGCAAAACCCTGGCCCAGAAACTCGAAGACTTGTACATCGAATACGGCTATCACA